GTAAGTTTTTTTAATTTTTTAATTTCTTTAAAATATATAAAATATTTTTATGAATTATTATTTACTTGTCTTATTTCTTACTAAAAACTAAGGAAAAAAAGTATTGTAAATTCTGTGATTTCAATAAGATAACACCATAAAATAAAAAACAATCTAATTTATATTTTAAAAATATATATATTATAAATATATATATCATATCTAACTCTTAAAATAAATTGAAATTTTAATTTTAAATTATGTCATCTTATTTAATTAAACTCTTGGATAAAGAATTTCAATTTAATTTAACAATTAAACCCCCAAGCAGAGAACTCCCCCTTGGTACAATATTATTGTATTGATGAGTCAAAACCTCAAGCCTAGGACACATCTGGTTTCATGTAGTGTGTCATCATCTGGAGACATGTCTCCTCTTATCTCCTTTTCTAATTAATAGCTTCCATTCCTATGCATTAATTTTTCACAGGTGCTGTAGATGAATCCTTTCATGGTTTTCGCCACTTTTTCTAGACGGTAACAATTAGTTGGTTAGATGCATGGGGATCACCATGAAGATCAAGAAAAAGATTTAAAAGGGAAACCTTGTGTGAAAACTTGTAAATCAACTAAAATATGTTAGTTTGATAGTTTGAAATTTAGAAAAAAATTTTTTTTCCAGATTTCCATCTTGTTTTAGACCCCTGAATCCTATGCTTCCCTCGACATGTTTTACCAGAAATGGAAAAGTGTTGATTAATGAATTCATCAAAACGCCAAAAGAAAACGAAGACACAACAGAATTAGTTCTTTCCCATTTGAAAGATGGAACAAGATAGGAAGATTGTAGGCCGTGGGTGTGGCGTTGGAACATACCCCCTTGATTTTGATATGATTCTATATGTAGAGAGCTTGGTCTTACCTGGTGCAAGTGATACTAATAAACGCGACTTGTATTTCACCAACCCAGTGCAGCAGACAACTTCTTAATATTTTGACTTTATGTTGTAATTTTATTTGATTGAATGATCTTGTTTCCTCAACTTGTCTGCTTTGATCATTTTTTGCACATTTTATTTAATTCAATATTCTTGTTTTGATATAAAATTAATGTAAAGTCACGTTACCACATTGATATATTAAGAATTTGATAAACATATTTACTATTACAAAAGAGTTAACTAGTTAATATCTTAATAACAATTTTAGATTACTTAATTAACATAGTTTATTATAATTTTACTTTAGTAATTGAAGTAGTTTTGTTACTAATATAAAACACGTTCACATAATAAAAGTTTAAATTTATACTCTTCTCCCATATCCTCATATCCTCGTATCCTCCTTTTTACATATTTGAAGGACTTACTCTAGTATAAAAAGAACTCACAACATGCTTAAGTTATTTTCTCTATTTTTAATGAATGAAAAGGACTCTTCCATTCGTCCTACTTGCTACTGCAATCTAAGGCATGTTAGGAAGATTGTAGTCCCTATGTTTGAGTTTTGACAATTGATCCCTTAATTTATCCAAGCAAACTGCAAAGTAAATAAATAGCCTATCTATTTATTCTTATTTTTTAATTTCTTTAAAGAGCATAAAAATTCTATAATATTGATAAATTTGGGGAGTTAAAGGCTGTTTGATGGAATTTTTTAGAGTTTTTACTTTTTTAGTATTATTCATGAATCATAAATTTAAATTTTTATTAAAGAAAAAATTTAAAAGTTATCTTTACAAATAATAAAAAATAAGTAAGAAGTGAGTAAAAAGAAAATTTATAAAAAGTAAAAATTTGAAAATTTTTAAAGTTTACTGTTTAAAATCTTTTTAAAATTAAAAAAAATTAAAAAATATAAAATTTTAAATGAAAAATTTAAATTTATGAAATATAAATAATATAAAAATAATATAAAAAAAGTGAAGCGCTTATAAACTTCACCAAATATGCTCTAAATGCACTTTTTTTTAATCCAGAAGGGGTCAAGAGTATACTGGAGAGTCAAGTGCACAGTTTTGAAATTTGGGGGTTAACTGCACTCACACCGAACCACATGGTGGGTAAAGGCAATTTCTCCAATTATAAATCCTGCTATCCGCGTTTTCTTCTCCCCAAATTGGAAGCAAAAATCTGAAAACCTAAATCAGTGACTCACTACACTCACTCGACTCTCATCTCCTCTGCACCCCTCCAATCCGTAAATAATTCTTTCCAAATCGAAGCTAAGATGAAGACGAATGCATTCAGAGGGTCTAACGTTTTCATGTCCCGGAAACTGGTTCCTCCTGAGGTCTTCGACAAGCTTCTCGGTGCCCTGAAGGACAATGGAGCCGAGGTCTTCCTCTGCTGCGACCCTTCTCGAAACGGCCAAAACGACTTCCATGTCATCTCTTCCATCGATCACGTACCGCTCTTTCCCGCCATTTTATTCTACGCTATCATATCCAATTTTGCCTGTTTGTTCATTTCTTGTTTGGTTTTGTAGGAGAAATTTGAGGATCTTCGAGCTAAGGGCTGTAATTTACTGGGTATAATTGATTTTGTTATTTTTTAGGTTGAGGTTAGGCTGTTTTGACTGTTATCAATCACATATCTGTTATCGGGCAGGTCCACAGTGTGTACTTACATGTGCAAAAGAAAATAGAGCTCTACCTAAACAAGGATTTACTTGCTGCCTTGCAATGGATGGTTTGAAAGTACTTGCGTCTGGTTTTGAGACGGATGAAAAGGTACAAGTGATTTTGGTACAATTGTTGTCTATTGCCATATGGCTGGGCTGTCCTTGTTGAAAGAGTACTAAAGGGGAAAAGAAGAGGAAATGGGGTAATGGTGATGGAAACGGTTAATTTAAGAATTTATGGAAATCTTGTGAAAGGTGGTTCAGGTCTCTTATGCAGCTCATGTACATTTCCTCTTATATATTTTAAGTTTTTAACTTATATTCTGCTTCCATTTTTCTTGTTGACCTTCATTTCCACAAATGTAATTTCATTCAATTTATCATTTTTGGTTAACTGCATTCTTTTGCCTCTATCCCTCTAAGCTAAAATACCATACTTCTTATGATGATTATTGGGTCACAGGTTAAGATTCAAAAGTTGGTTACAGCTATGGGGGGAATGTTGCAAAGTAAAGCATCTTTGGATGTTAGCTTTGTTATTGTAAAGAATGTTTTGGCTGCAAAGTACAAGGTCTGATGCTTTTACTCTACTCTTTCTCTCATGTGTGGCCTCACTACTCCAAAAGCTAATCAAGATTGTTACTGTCACTGATTTTTCTAATTTTTTTGTTGAACATTTAATTATCTGTGTTAGATTATATTGTTATATGATAAAGTTGGTGCAGCATACAACATGACAGAGGATCTTAATGTTATTTAAAAAGGAAAAAGGAGTCTGGATAAACAGTCACAAAACCCTCTGTCTATGGAATCCTAATGTAAAAAGAAAAAAAAAGAGTAAAAAAAAAAAACAAAAAAAGCAGTCTAGAAAGGAGAAGGAAAAATGACTATCATAGTGTCAATTGATGTTTTAGGCTTTAGAGATAAACTTGATAGTAGGAATGATTATTATTAGATGGAACACTATCAATGACTTTTCCCTCATTATTTTCTGTTTGTGCAGTGGGCTCTAAATAATTCAAGGAAACCTATTGTTACTATTCAGTGGTTATATCAATGCTGGAGTGAGCACCGTGTTGTTCCTCAAGACTCATACAGGGTTCTTCCTTTTTCTGGATTGACCATATGTGTTACCAAAATCCCTGCAGGTCAATTTCTCAGCCAGCTATTGATGTTTCTTGTGACAATCCAACTTGTTTTGACATCTGATATACTTGTTTATCTCAGATGAGCGGAAAGAGGTGGAAAAGCTTGTCAGTCAAAATGGTGGAAAATATTCACCCGAACTAACCAAGAAGTGCACTCATTTGATTTGTGATATATCCTTTATGTTGTCCTTTAGTAGGACATGATTAATTTTTCTTGCGTTCAAAGTTTGGAATTTGCATTTCATTGTTTTCTACAAGGAAAAGCTTGCTAACAATTATTGTCTGACTACTTATGCTCCTGGATATTATTTTTTCTTAGACAAATTTTCAGTTTGCTGTATTTTCACTCTTTGATGTTAGTGTATTTTGTTTGATGTTTGTTCCTTCTGGATTCACATGTTACTTTGATTATGCTATTCCCTTTCAGAGTATTAATCCATGGAGACTTTAGTCTTGGGAATAAAACTTTAATCTTAATATTCTGAACAGTGTCCTTGACTTTTGGTAAGCTCCTGAAGGTGACAAATATAAAGTTGCTCAAAGATGGGGCCATATCCTTATTGTAACACGAAAATGGTTTGATCAATCCATTGCTAGAAGAGGTATCATTTTATTTTATTAGAATGGTTTAGTTTCTACCATTCTGATTTACTTGCATCATAATATTATATTTTCTTCCAATGTCAAACAATATATTCTGACCAGGGATTATCCTTTTTTTTTTTTTTTTTGATGAATAGCATGCCTTACTGAGGAGTCGTATCCTGTTCAGGGTGTCTCTGCCTCACTAAATAAGAGTACAAGGGGCTGCTCAAGAGAGCAGTGTAGTGATGTTAAGTTTAATGGAAATTCGCTGTCAGAGCCATCTTCTACAGCTACAGAATCAACTTTTCTTGCAGTTCCAGCTGGATTTGGAGATTCAGACCTTGAAGCTACACTTTCACAGAACATGTCTTCATTGTTTTCAGATGCTCAGGTTATTACAAAGGAGGGTGAAGCCCCACCATTGCAGGCCACAAATGAAACAAAGCTTGGTGGCTGTGTTGCTGATGACTCTCAATCTGAAGAGATTGATCTATACTTGTCTGGGTGTAGAGTATCACTTGTTGGCTTTGAAGCTTCTGAAATGCGTAAACTAGTTATGATGTTGCGTAGAGGTGGGGCATCTCGATATGTGTTATTGAATGATAAGTTGACACATATAATTGTTGGAACTCTGTCAGAGATGTAAGTGCTTTTGCATTAAGCTATGAAGTTGTGCAATTTCCTTTTTTTTTTTTTTTGGGATAACATGGGTATCTAGATCTTTGCCCTGTCTAGTCCCATGAGCACATGTGATCCACCCAATCCATAGGCATTGACCAAGGCTCATCAAGATTATGGTTGCTGTGGTTGTGGCCCGTTAAAATTGTTGTTTACAGAAATGGTTTTGGAGGAATTTCAACCTGCATTTAATGCAGTACCCACATTTAATGAAGTTGTGCATTTTTAACTTGGCCTTTTCTCTCTCCATTTTTATTTTCTTCATCAAATATAATTTTCCTCCTTTGTGATCACGTTTGTAATGCGATTTGTGCTTTTAATTTGTTTCTCACATCCTTGCATGATTTCCCAGGGAAAAAAAGGAGATAAGGAGTCTTGCAGCTTCAGGTGTCATTCAAGTGGTAAAAACAACCTGGATTGAAGATTGTGATTGTCGAAAGAGAGAAATACCTGTTGAAAGTAGGCACATAGCCTATGATTTACTTTTTCCTAAAGGTTTGCCAACTATTCTTAGTTTATCAGTTGACATGTGCACTTATGCATCTTTTATCTTTGACGCATATTAAGCTGTTTATTTTTCTGTTAATTCTGACCTTTGTCACTTCCTTGTGTTGGATTAATAGGTATCAGAAAGAAGTCTTTTTCTTAACATGATTCTTCCTCTTCATGTCTCTAACCGTTTGTTATTACTTATAGATTCTGTACATTCAGTCAAAGGATCAATGACAGGCATGAGTGGTTTGAATCAAAATAGAAGCTCAGTTCTGATAGGCTCTGGAGTTGGAATGTCATCTATTGGAAAAAATAGGGATGATAAACCACAAAGCAATCTGAATAAGGACAGCTCTATGGAAGCAACCACTGGATTACCTAAGCAATGCGTACTTCCGATTGTAAATAATAAAAGTAATGGCCAGCAGAAGAAACAGAGTGATCCTGCTGTTCAAAATTTTGAAAATACAACATCTTCATCTGTATTTAAGGGGAAAGTATTTTGCTTTTCACCTTCCTTTCCTGAAGATCAGGTAAGTTGTTCAGATGCATATTGGATTCTCATATGATCTTGCCCACTATTTTGTGCTTAGAAAATTTATGGTTAAATTTCTTACATATAAAAATTCTGTGTTTTGTATGAGAACTAGTAAATTTGGGAAATTTTAGAAAATTGACAGATGAATGCAACAGTAAGCTAAAGGTTTGAAAAATCATGCATGATGAGAGGAAAATAACCAACATGAATCCATTAACCTTTCTCTCAAATTCTCAAAGGTAGAATATTTTAGGTTCCTCAAGACACCTACAGAATAGATAAAGGGGATGCAACTTTGATTTTTGGTGAGCATCAATATGAGATATTAATGTATAGTTTAAAGGATATGAGATATTAATATCGTTTATATAAGATTGCAAGAAACAATTTTATGTTCTCTCTCTTGCACCAAACACACAGGGCATACCACTTTCATATCACTGTTATATGTTGGTGTTTTGGATCTATATAGATTTCTTTTTCTCAGTTTATAAAGATGAATTTTTTTACAGTTTTTCCAATTGGTTGAATTTTAGTTTTGGATGCCATTTGCCAGAAACCTGACATTCTTAAATGGGTGGATCAAGGCGGAGGAGAAATAGTGGATGATCATGTAAAACAGAAAGTGCATTTCATTGTCGAGTGTCATGGTTATCTATCTAGGTCTGCTACTGATGTGCAAGTTACTTATGTGTCCACTCATTGGGTCAAATCTTGTTTAGAGGTAAGCTTGAAAATTGGTTCCACTTTCTGCTGCTGTAGTTTACTTTTCTTTAAATTTTTGTTGGACCACCTTGATTACCTATTTTAGTGCATTATAATTGATAGGTAGATTTGTATATTGGAAAATTTTACATCCCTTGAACTTCTCACAAATTCTTAATGATGCTCTTCGACTATCAAAATTGGTCAAGTAGATCCAAAGTTTAAAATTGTCTTGTGAAAATTACATTTTTACCCCTGTGCTCCTTAATCAATCAGAAATGTAATTAAATTAAATCCCTGATTAATTATGGCAAAATTAAATCATGGATTATTTATGAAGTTTGGGTTTATTTGGATTATTTGAATAGTTGGAGTACTTGTCTGAAAATTTACAAGGGTTAATTGAGATTTCGATACAAGTTATATTGCTACTTGTTTTTTTTTCTCCCTTGATTAGTAGGCTTTGTTTTTCTGTTTAGATTTCTATTGTGCAACCTTACTAGTGCTGATGCCTAATGGAAATAATAAATATTGGTATTGAAGGATGGGTGCTTGCTAGATGTTGGGAGTCACATTCTCTATTCTCCACTCACCTGTCGGATTCCTTTGCCTGGGTTTGAAAGGTTCCGGTTTTGTGTTTCACAATATGAAGAGAAGGATAGACTGCTATTGAGAAATTTGTGCTATGTCCTTGGATCCAAGTTTGTGGAAAAACTGACAAAAAAGGTGACCCATTTACTGTGCAAGTTTGCCAGTGGACCAAAGTATGAGGCTGCTTGTAGATGGGGAATATGCTCAGTTACACCAGAGTGGATTTATGAATGTGTGAGGCTGGTAAATTCTCTCTCTTTCTCTTCCATGTGTCTATGGGTCTGAGGTGTTGTGCTTTTAGTTTTCTTGCAAACCATAGGACTGCAAAATGTTTATGTAAACAACGATACTTTTCAGAATCAAGTTGTTTCTCCAGATTCATTTTTCCCTAAAGAAGTTACTGCTCAAGACCGAGAGGCAGGACTCTGCACTGTGAGTCAGTTTCCTACACAAGCTTTTCCAATGATCTCTAGTGATAACCCACTGGAGTTTACAAGTCATTCACAAGACCATAGAAATGCACCAACTCAAACTGTTAATGGTAAAAATGGAAGCATTATCGGTAGTGGGTGTGATGGATCTGGAAATGAGGGGAAAATATCTGCTTTTCACAATAAAAAGGCAAGGCTTTTGAAAGATGATTATCAAAATCATCTGCTTTCTTCTGTTGTACATTTAAGTAATCCTGTATGGAATGAGAATTCCACTGGATCCAACAAAGTTAAAGATACTGGGGAAGTTGCTCATGTTGTTCCTGATGTTGCTGCTGCCATAGAAGACCTGTTAGAGCAGACCAGTAAGGTAAATCCAGATTCCCTCTCTCCTGAACTAATAGTTTCATTTTGGTTAGGTTTGACTGATTGTATGTTCACTACATTTGTTAGATTAATGATCACAAGTCGCCAGAGAAAAATGGGTGTGATAAAAGTGTATCCTTGTCTATTCTGAGCATTTTTCATCTATAATTTTGTTATATTCTTTATCAGCATCAGTCCTTAATGGTAGAACAGATTCTTTCATCTGACTGTACTGGGATTTGTGAAGAGCGTAGAGATTCTCACTCTGTTAGTGGGTTATCTAGACATTGGTTAAACAGGTAAATGCATTGTATCACATCATATTATTGTTATTCTATTTTGAGAACGATTCTCCAGCACATACTTGCTTCAGCAAAAAAATCTGCACAATTTGTTTAGATTTTAGGTTTTAAATGGTTTCCAATTTTGTTGATTTGAAATTAGAAATCTGAAGCCAGGTTTTTTGTTCCTGAAATTTTTAATCCTTGCATATTTTGGAAAATTTATTGGGATATTTTGAATAAGTTGTGTGCTTGTTCATTTTTTTCTTTTTATAAATTTAATATTTGGGGAAAACCAAAGAGGGCTAGGGCAGGAAAGAGCATAAGTAATGACCCTCATCTGGTCCATGATTTGAAATTTAATAATCTTGTATTTTTATTTTAGTTTTTTAACTCAGCAACCGACAAAGAGTTTTAAGAAGTTCTTTACTGAAATTTGATATTGCTGCTGATATCACCTCATTTTGTACTGTTATTAACTTGTTGCTTTTTGGATTTGACATTGAAGCACTGAAATGTAGTATTTTTCTGTAACAAACAGTCATTCCAAACACTTTCAAGTTTTAACCTCTAAAGTGGATGACCTTCGTGCTATTTCTCTGCACAAAATTTGCTGATAACCTGAACTAATTTTGTGCCTTTTCAGGCCTGTGCAAAAAGATAAAATCTGCACCTCTGGAGATGCAAGTAAAGGCTTATTTTATGGTTTCAGTGAAACACAAACCGATTCTCAGGTCTTAACTCTCTCCTCTCCAATCTCTATCTGTTTCGGTGGTTTTCTAGTGTGCTTAAATTTGTGAAGGATTTCGTTAAAAAAATGGAGGTTTGACGCCTGTGATATATTAGCTTTAGAAGATAAAAAATTGGGGTTTTATCATAAATTAATCAGCCCTATTTTAGGGGTGTAGTTGTTATTGCAACCATCACTATTGTTAAGACCACTAAAATTTTAGCTTTTTTCTTAAATAGTGTTTAAAAATGTCAATTTTTTTGATTAATTTTAATTTATTAATTAATCATCATTAATTATTCTATCAATTATTAATTAATAGTTATAGTTATTAATTATTTTTATCAATTAAATTAAATAAGATTAATATTTTTAAAGATAATATTTTATAGTTTTAGTAGCCATAACATTATCGTAGGTGGTCATTGCCATGCTCCCATTTTAGGACCTGCGGTTTTTCCATTCGTTAAGTTTGTGCTCAATTGTTAAACAGGTTGTTGTTTATGAAGAAGATTTGTCAGGCAGACAGATGCTTATTGACAGAGTTCGAACCCGGGGTAGTAGCATGACCTAAAATACTGTGGTTTAGGGCTGAAATGCATACTGGAATAGTGTGACGATCAACGTACTATCCAAGCATCTAATGAACCATTGGAGTTGCTCAATGTGCAGATTATGGAAGAAAGATGATGCAAAGTAAGTAGTTATATCCCTTGTACATTCATGTATTTTTGAGTATGTATTGAAATTAAGGTGCAAATTCCATCTATCCAATCTTCTAATTTCTAATGGGACTCTTCTTTTTGGATTGAATTACATATTGTCCTTTTTTATTTTTTATTTTTTTTAATGCCTATGAAACATATTGTTTTTCATCAAATGTTTGATTGTTCTATGTTATAACTGGAAAGAGATAATTTCCTCATGTTTGCAGTTTATCTTTACTCATCTACATTGATGTATAAACATGTGAATATAATGTGGATTTGGACGTGCACATGCTCAAATGTGTGATGTTTGGTATAATTATATTGTACTTTAAAAATGAAGGAAAATTGGCTTTGTCAAAGAATAGAAAGAAGTTGACATGGCGATTGGCAAACCAACATACTTGTAGGAGGTGCTTGGATGGAAACTTTCCCTCTAAATTTTTTTGAACTCTTTTTTATAATATTATTTATATATTTATACATTAATATTATAATAAAAAAGTGATATTTTGAGTATTTACTTATTTTTTGATATAGTTCTTAACTTGTAAAGGTTTACCTATTTTGAAAAAAAAAATTCTATAATTTTTTCTATATTTGATTTATTTAACTATTTTTTAATTAATTTTTTCTATATCAATTTTTTTATTAAATATAATAAAATTAATAATCTAACAAAATTTTAATAAAACTTAACAATTTTTCATATATAATATCTTTTTAATTACTTTTTGAACGAAAATTTTATCATACCTTTTAAATAAAAACATTAACTTGCCTAATGATTCCGA